CGCCCCCGCTGCCCGTGCGGCTTTGCTCCTTTGCCCGGGAGCAAAGCCACAGAGGCGGGGGACCCCGCCGCCTGTGCAGCTTTGCTCGGGTCTCCCTGCTGTGCTGGGGAGTCCCCCCCCCAGCACACCAGGGAGACTCGGAGCAGCTTTTCTCGCCCCGGAGGACGCGGTGGTGGGACCGCTGCGCTCTGGGTGGTTCCGCCGCCCGCGAGCTCCGGGGCAAGAAAAGCCCCGTTCGTAAGTGCGGATCCGACGTAAGTTGGATCCACCTAAGTCGGGGACTGCCTGTACTCTGAAGAACCACTAATATAAAATGCTATTGTTTCGAAGGCAGTGAGAGTTAAAAGTATTCAATGGCTTATAAAAGCCACTCAGCATCTATCAGAATTGAACCCTAAAAGCCTGCTTTATGGCCAGGTATTTAAAGTTCTTCAAAATTCTTTTGTTTTACTGAGCATCCTCCCAGTTGCCTTTTATACTGTGTTTAAATGGCAAGTACTAAAAGGCATGCCATTTTTAAAGTTATGCTAAATAATGGAAAGCTTATATTTCCTAGTTAATACCCTATCCTTGTTAATAACATCCATAGGTGAGTCTAATTTTTTCTCCCCGTTTTTCATTAGAGTTCATACCAGCTAAGCTGTGGTGAATACTCTGGCACTGCTGGTGACTCCCTTACTGGAGGTTTTCATCCTGAAGTGAAATGGTGGGCTGATCTCCGAGGAATGAAATTTAGTACACGAGACAGAGACAATGACAACTATGAAGGGAACTGTGCTGAGGAGGACACATCTGGTTGGTGGTTTAACAGGTAGGTATTTCATGAGAATACCAATACTAGTATTCTGATATCTCCTGAGTATCTAAATGAATCTGTTCTAGACAAATAATGTGGCTAGACAAATAATGCAATCTAGTCACCCATGGTGAGTAGATGGCAACCCGGAAGAGCCGGTTTCGGGCTATCTGCGCATGCACAAATGTCACATGCTATATGACAAGTTACTGCTAGTGTAGGGTAAAGATGTTAAGGACTAGTCAACTATCTTCGCATGTGCAGATAGCCCGAACCCGGCTCTTCCGGGTTGCAATCTACTCACCATGGGTGAATAGATTGCATTATTTGTCTAGCCCTGCTTATTGGATAGTCGAGTCAACTAGTCGATTCTCTTGCTGCCTCTATCAGATAAAGGCAGCAAATGGGGGCGGGAAGTGGGTACTTCAAAATGGCAGTGCTGCATGGAACCTGTACCCAGGCTCTGTGTGGTGCTGCCCCTTTGAAATGCCGCAGCGGCATTTCAAAGGGACAGCACCACACAGAGCCTGGGATCAGTTGTGTAGCGCTACCCCTTTGAAATGCCACCACAGCATTTCAAAGCGGCAGCGCCGTGTGGAACCTGAGGTTAGCTGGGGACTCGCTACCTGACCCTGGGCTCCCTGCAGCATTTCTGTGGAACCCGGAGTCAGCTGGAGAGTCCCCAGCTGATCCTGGGCCCTGTACAGCACCACTGCCTTGAAATGCCGAGCAAAGCCCAGGATCATCTGGAGACTCCCCAGCTGATCCCGGGTTCTGGGGAAATGCCACACAGAGCCTGGGGAGTCCCCATGCGCAGCTTGGAGTCCCCGGCTGACTTCAGGCTCCATGAGGGCACTTCCGCTTTAAAATGAACAAGAGTCCCCACTGCAGACTCTTGTACATTTCAAAGCTGTGGGGCTCTTGTGCATTTCAAAGAGTAAGCACTCTCCTGGACCCTGGAGTCAGAGGGACTTCCTGCTGGCCCTGAGCAGCACGCAGAGTTCTGCATTCCTCATTTGAAATGTACAAGAGCCCTAGCAGGGCCTCTTGTACATTTCAAAGGAGGAAAGCGGAAGTGTCTATCAACTAGTCCAGTAGTTAATGAAAATTCCATCAACTATTCAACTAGTAAATTACTTGTTAGTTAACATCCTTAGTGTAGGGATGTAAGCAACTAGTCAACAATCCGATAAGCAAATGCCAATCAGATAGTTGACTACTGACTTGACTAGTTGCTTCCCCACCCTTGCTCCCTCTAACAGAGAGAGGCAGCAAGGATGGGGAGCAGGATCCGGTGATGAGGGGAGCCAGTTTAAAAGCCAGTTCCCCCCAGCAACATCTCTGTGGGAAGAAGGGGAAGAGGCAAAGCAGGAAATTGGCAGCACTTCTGCCTTTGAAATGCAGCAAGGGCAGCCCTGCTCTTGCTACATTTCAAAAGCAAAGCGCCACAGGGAGCGCAGGGCCAGCAGGGAACTCAAACATTCCCCCACTAGCCCACACTCTGTGCTTTTGAAGAGCTCTGTGCCCTTTGAGTGCCCCACGGGCCCTGCGCTCCCAGCAGTGCTTCCACCTTTGAAATGTGCTACATTTCAAAGGTGAAGGAGCCCTTATAGACTAATCAAATAGTCGATGCAAATTACATTGACTATTCCATTAGTCGATTAATCTAAATTTAACATCCTTATGCTAGTGATTGAGTTAATAGATATCTATCTGTTGGGGGAACCATTTTTCCCCTCACTTCATAGGGTCATTATCTTCTCATCAAGAGGGGAATACATTCCTTTAACTAGGGTTCTTCTTAGAGTGATTATTCTGAGAAGGAAATTTCCTTAAATATGATGAAGGTTCAGAAAAGGACAACAAAAATGATTAGGGGGTTTGGAACAGCTGCCATATGAAGAGAGATTTAAAAAATCTGGGACTTTTCAGCTTAGAAAAAAGACTAAGGGGGGATATGATAGAGGTCTATAAAATCATGACTGGTGTGGAAAACGTCAATAAGGAAAAATTATTTACTTGTTCCCATAATAAAAGAACTGGGGGGGGGGTCACTAAATGAAATTAATAGGTAGCAGGTTTAAAACAAACAAAAGGAAGTTTTTCTTCACACAGCTCACAGTCAACTGTGGAACTCCTTGCCGGAGGATGTTGTAAAGACCAGCACTTTAACAGAGTTCAAAAAAGAACTAGATAAATTCATGGAGATTAGATCCATCAATGGCTGTTTGTCAGAGGCAGGAAAGGGATGACAGAAGAGGGATCATGTGGCGATTACCTGCTCTGTTCACTTCCTCCGGGGCATCTGGCATTGGCCACTGTCAGAAGACAGAATACTGGGTTAGAGGGATCTTTGGTCTGACATCGTATGGCTATTCTTAAAGGCAACATTTTTAAAATGTAACATTTCTTATACTTCTATATGCAAGCTGACATAGAAGATTAAACATAAATGATAAATAACTTTAGCTTTGAATATATAGGAATCCATCCATACAAGTTATCTTGAATAATAAGATAAATATAGCTGCAATATATAATATATAGCTATAAAATACAGTTCAAAGAAGCCTATTATCACAATGAGATCTCAGTTCTCTTGGCAGGAATTGCCAGGCAGGATCAGCTACAGTCTCTCTCTCCCTCTCCCCTCCCATTTTAACCTCTCACTTCCCAGAATTCACTAGCACTTGCCTAACTTATCCCAGTCCTTCTAAGGACAGTCACATAACATGTAGTCACCTAATAGTTTTGTTTCAAGATTAATTTTATCTTTTACTATATGCTAGGGAAGAATCAACATAACAGATTTTGCAAGAAATTGGGATATAATATTGTAGGTAAACCACAGGTTGTCTGCGTTTCTACTTAAAGCTACAATTACAGCTATACAAAAAAATTCATTATGATCCTGCTCCAATGAACCTCCAGCCCTTAAATTGCATAGGATTGTGAGAACATATCACTGCTTACATGGGTGATGAAGCACCAATAACTATTAGTCAATTGAGTCCATTTTTCTCATAAATAATCTCTAATAGGCTCAGGCAAAAAGCATTATATCTTTGTGGAAATAGCTGCATGACAGAATTTGACAGTTCTCTTTATCTATTGTACTGTTGTGATGTGTCATATATATGCCACGGACAGCTAGCTTACAATGCAGGTTTCTATTAGCTGTGGGTCTTTTTCTCTCAAAGTTATAATACTGTCTTGTATTGTAGCAACTCTGTTCAGGGTTAAAGAGGAAAGCTGCTAATGAAGTTACCCCACCGCCTAGCTTCTGCCATTTTGTTGAGTAAGCACTTACTACTGAAGTGCACACTGAATCACTCAGCAGAATGCTTGCAAAGTTTAGTATTCTGCCTGTACACAAGAACAAAGCAGGCAGGCACAATGCAATGAAAACATTCAGAACACTCATTTGTCACGAACACATTAGCAATCATGGGAAGAACCAGTGGCCTGGATTGGTTTATATAGGCTCTCCCATCTGGGTAGAAATTTGTTTTTCATTTTAAAATCTGTTGAAATGCAGTTTTTGTCTTAAAAGGGGGGGGGGGGATCAGGAAAGCAATAGGAATGGAAATAGGCTATTTCTGAAGTACATGAGCCTGCCAGGTTTGGCAGTGTAACTTTAAAAAAGCACACCTTTATGAATTTCTATTTTACATAAGCTGAAAAACTAACATTGAATCAATCATATGCCAGTTGTGTTTCTTCTTCATGTCTAGCTATTCTTTGTCCAGACTGATACATGGTATTTGTCTATATTTGCAGTTGTGCTTTTTTGGCTCCCCAGCACCAATTTAAGAGCTGTTATCCTTGGCTCATGGTACTTGCAACAGAATCCACTTTTGGCTGTTTCCCACCAAAAGAAGGAAATGCAGTTAAAGGAGTCCATAAGGAAGTCCAGTAGCTAGTCACTCTGTTACCTGCTATGTCTTTGCTATGGAAGTTTGTGCTTGAGTGAGCAGTTCAAAATAAACCATTCTGAAAAACAAAGCCACTTTTTATATCTGCAGATTGTGAATTTTCAGCCTATAAATGGCATGATTCAATTAATAAAGTGTTTGAAATCAACAGCTAGCTACATAACAATTTTAATATTTGGCCTTTATTATTATTGCATCAATTTCAGACTTTTGTAACTGTTAAGTGTAAACATGTGCAAACATACCTAGAAAGACTAACATTTACCACTAATTATATCCTTAAGGCTTATCATTGATTTTCTTTTTTAATTCTTCCTAAATGCTGCTTTTATTCCATCCTAATGTGCGACAACTAGCTACCAATAACAAAGTACTAATCTGGAGCTACAAAAGTTACACAGATTTGCTACAATAACTTAGAGAATAAATTGTTTAATTGTCTATGTGTCCACAAGCATCAAGCCTCCTCCTCCTTCATGGAAACAAAATTAATGGTGGGAGAGGCTGCAGCATGGCAAAGTATTTCTCTGACAGTTACAAATGTAACTTGTACTGTGTTCAAGAGTCCGAGAAGGATGCCAATTAAAATGGCAACGCTGATGATCCAGCTATTGGAGGATTGCCAGAATGTCTATATTTAACTTGAAAACAGATTTCATATTTTCCAACAAATATGAAATCAGCCATTTAACAACTGAACTGATGGTGATTATTCTTATTTTTGCACGACAACCCAAGTGTTGGCACTTAATACAGGATTTAGAGCAATTGCTCCAAAACAACAGAGGAACTATGCCACGTTCCTTTCACAAAGTTTTTATTGCCACGTATCCTGGTTGCTAGGTATGATCTTAACAAGTCTGCAAACATTCTTTAGTGAGGGAGATTAGCAGGCAAAATGTCAGGGAACTAATAGTGTTAACGGAATGGAATCAAGGAACAAAAGAATTTTTTGTTTTGAAGCCACTAAGAACCCTTGAAATTGTGCCCTAATTTAGCCTTTATTGTTTAGTGCCATTGAGCCCCATGAATGCAGATTCTTGCAGCTGTCAAACTAGACTGTCATCAACATTGTGATTTCTTTGGCTCATGCAATAACTACAAATCCCTGTAGCTTTTGGACAAAACAGATTTGTTAAATTAACATGAATGTCTTATTTTTGTTTTCCCTTTCTTTCCCACCAGGTGTCACTCTTCCAACCTGAATGGTGTGTACTACAAAGGACCTTATACAGCTAAGACAGACAATGGAATTGTTTGGTACACATGGCATGGGTGGTGGTATTCTCTGAAATCTGTTGTCATGAAGGTCAGACCGGCAGATTTTGAACCTAATGTTGTTTAAGTATCTAGTTAATATAATTCATCTAGTTAATCTTTTAGCAAATACATGCAAATTAAACCAGTGGGCAGGTTCTTTCCCTCCCATCCTCAGCCCCAGAAACCTGTATAAATCTGGAATAACTTCATTAAAATCATTGGTGTTTCATGGCTATACGTGAAAATAGAATCTGGCTTTGAATCGGGAGATACAAATAATGTGCATGGGATTGCAGACTGGACAAAATTCTCTCTGGGTTTATGGCAACTTCCATCTCTAAAATACTTAGCAGTAGGTTCCTAGAAGTATCAGGAACTTCCAGGTGCCAAAGTGGGTGGTATTGGTCAGGAAGGAGGAGTGCATTACTTTTGTAGCTTCTGATGGTGAGGCTCCTTTGGATTCCCTAGTGCCGTGGCCACCAACCAGTAGATCGCGATCTACCGGTAGATCTCGGAGGCTCTAAGAGTAGCTCTTGAGCCCTCTCTGAACTTCCTCATTTGAGGAGCAGCTACTCACCGAGCAACAGCACAGGTGAGTAGCTGCGAGAAATGGTGCGATTTTTTTTTTTTTTTAAGTAGCAGTATAAGGATTGCGGATAGCAAGTGATGGAGAGGAGGAGACTAGAGAGGGTGGGGCTTCAAGGAAGGGGCGGGGCGGTAGCTCTTGGCTTGGTCTGTCATTTAAAAAGTGATCTTGGGTGTAAAAAGGTTGGAGACCACTGCCCTGGTGGAATTTAAAGCAGTTTACAGAGGCAGAACCTCTGAAGGATAACAGTGGGAATATCACCTGCCCTCTCTTAGGACAAGAGATTAGGTTGCACAAAGGTGCAATTGGTACCTTCTGGGAACTAGGGGTACAGGAGCAGGTGCCAAATTGGTCCACACTGTTTTGGATTTTTTTTCATTTGAAAACCATTTCTATCTAAATATTTATAAAAATAAATTCATTATATTGTCTTAAAAAGCAATGCGACTATGTATTACACACAAAAATAACATTCCAAGAATGTTAGGGGTGATCAGTACACAAAATGGACCATGTCTGGGAATGAATCTTAGTTGTGAAGAGTGAATGTGGTGTTTGTAGGATACCTGTGTCATTTGTTGCAGAGATTGGAAGATGTGTAGTGAAGGAGGCAGAACTCTGGAAGAAGATTGTCTTGTGGCTAAGACACTTTGCTAGCCTAGAAAATTCTACCATAGAGTTCTTCTGTGATGTTGGCAAGCTTTTTAAACCAAATTTTTCACACATGGCCATTAATAAAGTATTCCTCATTTTCTGAGTGCCTGAGTAGAGCAATTATAACCCATACATCTCTTAGGTGTAGTGTACTGTCCCATCTAATGGCACCGAGACTACTTACAGAAAGAGTAATGAATCTGCTCTACAGCCGAAGTTGTGAGCCAGCTGGCTTCTAGCTCATGTGGTAGAGGCATATGCACTAAGCTCCAGAAGTCTCAGGTTCAGTTCTGCCTCTGTGTTACACTCTTACAACTGCAATTGAAGCCAATGGCAATTGTGCTTTGAACATACAGTGTGAGATATAACTCCAAGTACTCTGAAAGATCACATCCTAGTTGTTTCAAACTGAGTAGCCAAAATTAGTGGACAAAGGGGAGCTGGAACCATTTGTGTAATGGGGGTGCTGAGAGCCAGTGAACCAAATTAAAAATCCTGAATCCATTTCAATTCAGAGGTTACTGCTATATCCCCCAGCACAGCTAGTTTCAGCACCTATGAGTGGGCATGCTGTGTACTGAATGGGGCAGAGGTTCAGTGGAAAAAAGTATGTATAATCCTGTAATTAAAGACTGTATTATAGTACATAGGCACAAGGGAGCCAAATTAAGGTTATTTGGGCAATTTTGGTTCTGGGAGTACCTAATTTGAGTGTTTGTTTCAGCAAACTTAACATTCTTTTAATGTCATTTTTGTGTGTGTAATTTTGAAAAAGCTGAACACCTGCTGCTCCCAGCATTTCCATCATGACACCCAGCAGGGTTGGAACCTTTAGATCCACTGCACAGACACCTGCCACTTGAACTCATGAAGTAATCGATAATAGTATCCATTTGCCTTCTGTCTGAACTAGTGACTAGTGGGGAGATGAAACACACCTTTTCCCAGAGGGTTTTGCAGATATGTGCAGACAGCAAAGGAATAATGGGACTTAGAAATCTTGACTTTCAGTCTAAGTTCTGAAGTATAGCATGTTTCACAGGTAACACAGACTCTTGTGAGCCTTTCAACAAGACTGGCCTCTTCTGTCACTGTTCTATTTAGCCTGTACCTTTTCCAGTCCTAGCTGTTCCCTTTCTTGCAGATCCTTTCCTAACTAGTCCCAGTCTAGATCTCCCCTGAGTCCTCACTCCACTTCCCACTGTCCTTGCCCAGTCAGATCCAGACTCCCCCTTCCAAGACCCAGTCTTCTCCTGTCTCAGACTTGCTATTCCAGTTTCCTTTCTCAATCCGTCCCATTGTTCACATACTCCTCTCCCACAGGCTTCTCATCCAATCTCAACATAGCACCCCTCTCCTTCCCCTGGATTCCAATTCTGCTAATCTCAGTCCCCCTCACCAGGGTCCTTGTTCCAATCTACTCTCTCATACACTGACCCTCCCCCTCCCAAATCTGGCTCTTGACCCTTCTGCATTCAGGTGAGGAAGTTTCTTCCCCCAACTGTTTGGGGGCCTTAAGGGGAAAGCTCACAAGCCCAGTAGAGAAAGCTTTCCTGATAACAGCCAGCCACAGCAGCCAGAAGAAGCAAATTCAGGCAAAGTATTACTCTGCCCCCGTAGCTATGCAATGGAGTAGGAAAGCAGAGAGAGTGATTGGATAATTGAACTACAAAGCCTACTGGTCATGTGTAAACAGACTTTTCAAAAGCTTATCATTTGGCCAGATCTGGGTGGGGTTTTTTTTCTTTAAGAAAAAGCAAAAGATACATCCCGAACTTATATTTTTCATGTTCCTGTTCCAAAGCATTGCAGTACTAGAGCTTTTCAACTGAACAGCTGTAAGAATTGTTTAATCTCATTGTAGGAAATGGCTAAACTGTTTTTGATTAAACTTGCCTCTCCTTTCTTTGTCTAAAAAAGAAAGAAGAAAGTTAGCCTCAGGCAGATATCCAGCATGGAAAAAAAATCAGCCCAAACAGTTCAAGTTTGGCAAAGCTATAACCATCAGACAACAAGATCTTACAATGGAAGTACAGGCAGTCCCCGAGTTACGCGGATCCGACTTATGTCGGATCCGCAGTTACGAACAGGGTTTGCTGCCTGTCTCCCTGGTCTGCTGGTTTCCAGCAGACCAGGGACACGGGGAGCAAAGCCGGGGAGCACGCGGGCAGCAGACAGCCCAGACGCGCCGCGGCTGTCCCGCTGCCGGCGGCCCCCGAGGCTTTGCTCCCCGTCTCCCTGGGCTGCTTGGGTTCAGC